ACCGAGAAAAACGTTACAACGACGTGACGAGAGAAAGAGACCCCGCAGTTGCGCAAGCGACATCGGATTAACAGTTTCGACACGCAACGATGCACCTGTATAGCGATTTTCGTGACGTCGTGGCAATTTGGCGTGTTTAGCGAGCGACTTGACGAATCATTAAACAGAGAACACTGGCAATTAATTATCACGTTTGCGTAATCGCCGTCCGAAAGCGGTGAGATTGCGCAACTATCGTTCATTCCGTTCTATTCTCTCTCTCTCTCTCTCTCTCTCTCTCTCTCTCTCTCTCTCTCTCTCTCTTTTCCGCCACCCTCGCCACTGGCTATTCTTTATCTCTTACCGAAACCAGGAATGATTCCATCCACTTCACCTCGTCCTCCTATCAACTCAAGTATTCCGCATATATCTCGAACTACTTAATAACCTTAATTATTTTTCTTCGTTAACGTGACTTAGTCATCAACGTCCTTCCTTTCTTTCTTCCTGTTTAATAGTTGATTTGAAAAGTGCGTAAACTAATCGCGGCCTGTTGATACATTATACGTATTATTTGCGTTCTCACATTATTCCAATAACGTGACGTGGCATTTTACGTTTCATTGACTGCGCGCGGTGACGCCGCATGACTTGTCTTACGTAAACCCGACGTTTTAAAATATTCATTAAAACAAACAAAACATTTGATTCTACTTGATGCCTATTTGTAAGAAAATTTTTTTTCAGATTTTCTAAATTTGAATTTCCAATTGAATCCTATCGTGACGAGATAGCGAGTGTTACACTAGATTGTGTAGAAATTCGAAAAAGGCATCAGCTGAGTAGAAGCAAATTGGTCGATCGTAATAGTCCGATTATCATTCGTTCGAAACGTCCAGTACGACAACGGATTTGATCGCAAACTTTAACCTTCCGTTCGTTCTTCGCACGTGCTTCGCCAAATAATGACGTTACGCAACGCGTTGATATTAATCAGCGGTACACGTCGCGGGTACGAGAGTGCTTTGCTAATTAAAAACTAGCTCAATATATGGTCATACGATAAAAAAAAATATTTGAAGTTACTGACAAAAGATAAATCAATTTTTTGTTAATAAAATTATTTTCTACTTAATTCTACTTACAAATAAACTACTTTGTTAAACATTTTTGTAATATTTTTAATAATATTGTAATTAATAATGTAATATTTTTGATAACAATAGTGATTTTTATTAATTATTAGAGCTCATAGAAAAGTTTTTCATTATATGATGCAAGTTTCTCGATCTACTTCATAAACTGCTGATCGATTTAAGGATTTTGTGTGGTCGATAGTTTTTACTCTTATTCTTGGAATATAAACCTTCATTAGGATTATTTTTTAAATCTCGCATAATTGGATTTCACGGTGCCATTTAGTGACTGCGTAGATAGCAAAGTATTCTGATGAATATTCAGAACAACGCGGCGAGATAATAATAGCAATTCCGAGTACTCTGGTTGAATCTCCGTGAGATAAATCCATCTCACACCTTTTTCACGAGGCGTGTTTGTCGGTGGAACAGGTCGAAGATAGAATACCGATCGCTAGTTTGTTACGGTTGACCAGCATATTTAAGAGATCGATACAATGAACGGCGGATGAGCGCGTGTATGCGTGTGTTTTTAAAGAAAAAAAAAATGAGAAAAGAAGGACGAAAGTGGGACAAAAGGGAAAAAATTTGGGACATCTCGCTCGGTCGATGTTATTATACGCAGAGTGATATGAGACGGTCAACCAGGGTAAGTCCAATAATTCTCCGGGAAACGTGTATCGAGGGTGAGACAAGGGACCCGACGGTATGTGTATAAATCAAGAGGAGGCCGGTTCGTAAAGGAAATGTCGGTGGCGAAGAAAAAGGAAAAAGAAGAAACGCGGTAGAGGGCAGAAGAGGGATCCGAGACTCTCGTGACAGTGTATGGACACGAGAGTGCGCGATCACGATCGTACATCACCGTCGGTATTTACGAGGCACCACCGTAAATCAATGATCGCACAAGCAACGCGCGATTCAACGAAATCCCTTCGTCCTTCCTGGCTTATACGCTCTCGTCTTTCTTCGCTTCCTGGATGCGAGAGAATTTGTTCCCCGTCCCTCTCCCCGTCACTCGTCCCAGCATCGTTTTATTCGACAAAATTCGATGACATTGAGGAATTTCGCGAAGAAGCTGTTATGCAACGTTAAAAAAAAAAAAAAAATCGACGTCTGTGTTCCGCACGATAACGTTTGGAGATTTCTCTACTAGCTTGGAAATTGTCTTCGCGCTTGTTGTGTAAATTTTTTATTTACGTCTTATTGTATGTCGTTACGTATTGTATTTCTGTGTATGAATAAAGAATTTGTGTGAAAGTTAGAGACAAAATTTACGATTATATTTTTTTTTCTCCACATTGAATTTATACGTACTACCTTCATTTATATGCGCAATGTTTATTTGGCTTCCGACCGGCAAAAGCTACTTAAGAAAACAGCAAATCGAGTTGTTCGCACGTTATCTCGACCTAAACGAGAAAGAAGGAAGCGTGATCGTGCGGTTTTCCAGACTCAAAAGCCGAATGGAGAGAAGAGACCTGAAGAAAAGAGAAAGATCGGACCGTGGTCGGAATCGTTTAAGACCGAGCATTGTTTGCTCGCAGGGCCTTTTAAACGTCTTTTAAAAGCGTGACTTCTGTCGGAAAGGATCGTTCTAACAAGGAGAGTTTGGGAACAGGCAGATCAGGTAGGATCTACGCCACGGTTAGTATTACGACTTGCGACACGAGGCGTTGCCTTTCGCGCTTCGCACGACTCTCGAGAGTCAGAAACGCACAAAGAAAAAAGGTTCGCCGCTTCTGGCAGCTAATCCTCCGAATCATATTACGTGATCGTTACGTCTGTGTCCACAAATCACTCCCCTCCCACTAAAAGAAAAATCGCTTATTGCAATCTTTATACGCAACACGAGACGCGGTATCTTGTTGAATTCAAGTATCGAATTTATCCTAAACGGATAATATTTTTTTTACGACTATGCGCGAATCGATGAGTTTCCGATGTTTCAGCAAAAACTTTCTGTTGCGTAAATCCCGTAATGTGTGAAAAAAAAAAGTTTGAGATTCTAATTCTGCCAAATTATTCATTGAAAAATTACGTTTTAAAATATAAGTTATTATTATTGTTACCGATATGTTGCGTCGCAATATATTGTAAAACTTTTTTTTGTAATTTGTCTTTTTCTCTCTCGTCTCTTTTCCGCGTCTATTGAAAATTCACACGGTTACAAATACGTGCGCGATATTGTGCGCGCAAAGCAAAGACGACAAAGTGTCGTATTATTTGAGAACAAATCTCGACGTTACATCAGTTTCCCTCGTTCACAAATAACGTTTAATGTCATGCACGTTTTTCCTGTTGTGCGCTTAGAGCAAACGTGTCTTTGCATTTTAAGAAGACGCGAAGAAACTGCGCGTTTACGCATCGAGGTGCATCGCGATAAAGGAAAAAAGTCACGAAGAAGAAATAGAAGAATGAAAAAAGCGACGAGAGAGAAGTTGAAAGCGAAAAAAAAAAATTTCACAAAGAAACTATAAAAGTACAATAAGGGATTAGAAAAGGAAGTCTTCTTCTTCTGCGTTTTCCATGCGACAGGAAGATACGGTCGTAATAAGACCTTAGCGAGCTCACCGAAAAGTTCCAAATGTTTTTTTATACTCTCGGATTACACAAAGAGTTGCGGAAGGGCTTCGAACGCCCTTGCGACCTTTTTAAGTGCTCCCCGAACAGCTGACTGATCTAAACTTAGATGACGGACGCGTTTCACCGTCGACTCTCTACCTCTCTCATTCTTTCGAAACGTTGCTGTGCGGTTATTTCGAGGAGCGCCGCGTGTGAAATAAAACAAATACAACACATCGCTTCCGCTCGGAGCGTCCCACGTTATGATCGATCGTTGTCGCGCGGCAAACGGTGCGCATCGAGAACTTTCGATGATTGAAACGAAACCGCGTCGATAATTTCGAGGTGAGTACAGTTCGTCACGCGGCAAAATACGAAAAAGCGTAGCTTACGTCAATCGTGCGTCACGAATAAACTGGAAATCGCGTGACTGCGATGACATCGATTCGAACAGAAACTCAGCGATGTCGAAAAAAGAGAGTATTAGCGGCAAAATAAATTGATCAAAAGATTATTTTTTTTTTTTTTTTTACGACTAAATTAGTTTAAAAACGCTGTTTTACTCCAGTTTCGTGTATAACTTGTACTTCGCGTAAAAGTCCAACGATAAGCTAACTAATTTGCGCGGAACGAGCAATTATATCGGTCTCGACGCTTGCGTTTCTCGCTAGGAATATGTACCGCGCCAGTTAATACGCTTAAACTGGACGTAGAGTTTAATTCCATTAGTGAAATTAAGGCTGCGCGAGCTACGCGAGCTTTAATTTCGGGTCGATGCTTCGAGCCACTCTGTTAAGCCGACGAATTAAAAGCGCCCGCTAATGCGAACCACTCGAGAATTAACTCGGTGCGTTTGAGCCATTTGGTGAGACGGAAGAAACCCCGGTGGCGTCGTCGCGAGGGCGTCGAGGAATTTCTCTCGTTTCCCAGAAATCGACACCACGGTTTCGACCGTGTGTTGCGCAAGTAGCGAACCAGTGGCTGTCAATTTTCGTACATCGAAATTAAAAATACACGTAAAGAGATGAAATTTTTGTTTATATTAAATTAATCTTTTGATTAAATATAAAAAAATTTGTATTATACTTTTGAGAATTAAAACATATTACAATTTAATTATAATTAAATTTTATATGTGAATATATAATTAATTTGAATATTAAATCTTGCGTGCAATCAACTAAGTATATTATTTATGTGTCAGTCGTTAGTGACGTAACCTAACCTTGTTTTCTTTCTGCTAAAAGTATCTAAAACTTTTTGAGAACAAAAGTTGAAAACCACTGGTCACAAATAACAGCGAGAAACCCTTTGAAACCTTACCTGATGTAGATGATGACCCCGTTGGTGAATATCCTCTTCCATCCACGTGGCACGGTGATCGCCGACTGCTGTTGCACCACCGCACTACCGTTCATTGTCAACACCACCGCGTTGTGCTGCGCACCGTTATTGTTACTACCGTTGACACGCGACGACGGCTGCTGACGCGCAGCCTGCTGCGCGCACGCACCACCACCGCCGGGATGATTGTTACTTGCCGTCAGACCGCCGTCGTGTTGTTGTCCCGTCTGTTGATGACTCTGACTCTCATCCGGACTGCTGAGACTGCTATAGGTCGTAGACGTGGTTGACGACTCGTCGGACCTCACAGAATCGCTACCGGTCGCACTGTCACCAACACCGACAACTGCCGTAGCAACCGATGTTGGCGCCGAGTTGGCGGCAACGGCCGTCTGCTGATTATTGAAACTGTCCTGCTGCCGGCCTTTGTTGTCCCCGCTAGTCGCGGCCTGTTGCTCACCGACGTTCTGTAGCACGATACCGCCGCCGATAGCGGTCGGTGTACCGTAAGCGACGCAACCGTCGTCGCCGAGAAGACCGACGTCACCGACGGGATTATTGTTTGACAGCGCGACGATTCGAGAACCCGCCGCGACGTTGTACTCGTTGCTCATCCGCGTAGAGTACGTTGCGTCGCCGTGCTGGAGCCGCGTCTGGTACGTTTTCACGCCGGAGATGATCGAATCACCACCGTTATCCGTCGTCGAATCCCCGTTCTCGGGCGTACGCTTAGTCTCGCGCGAAGTCACGACGCGTGTCAACATCGTTGTCGTCGTCACCGTTGTGCACGGCGCCGCCGATTGCCCCAAATTAGCCTGTTGGTACAGCATCGCGTAGTCCTCTTCGTCGTCCGTCTGGAAAGAAGGCGCCCGCTGCCTGGACTCGCTGCCATCCGTATTCACCGCCGTTGTTGTTGTCGTTGTCGTTGGCTTCAGACGGCAGCAGCCGGAGGTGCTGTTGGTGCTCCCTACGTTGATTTCGCCGCTGCCGTCGGAACAATATACGGCGGTTTTGGCGGGAAAGGTCGTCGTAGTCGTCTGCGCCGTCGCCACCTGCGATGCCTGCAGAATCCCGGCGTATTGCGTCGTCTGCTGTTGTTGCTGCTGCTGCTGCGGCTGCGACTGATAACCGACCGCGATAGCGGCAGCAGCGGTTGCGGCGACATTCTGGCCCACCGCCGTAGCGTACGCGAAGTTCTCCCCCGATACGTACACCAGAACGCTGTTTTGCTGAAGAGTTTGTTGCTGCTGCTGCTGCTGCGCCTGCTGCTGCACTTGTTGCGAATGCTGCTGCTGATGATGATGATGTTGCTGATGACCGTGACTCGGGGGAGCTGGAAGCGTGGATGATTGCTCAGGCTTGCCGGCCATGGTCCAGGTCCAGCAGCGCTGCGGATGACCCCGACGACACCCACGACAACATCACTGGTACGACGCGGCACGTAGTTCGCCTACGTGGGAACACCGGCGGCCAGTACTGCATCCTCCGCGAGAGCCGGGCGATAAATCTCATGCGCACGGCAATAAATTTCCTAATCCTCGAGTGATGGTCGCGTGCTCGTTCCACGTTCCGTTGCGTTTTTTCGCACGGCGCTCGTAGCACGACATAATATTTATAGCGCGAGGCTACGTGTGTCGTGATGTGCAAAACTCGATCGAATGAATAAATTCTCGAAAATCGATATATCGATCAACGGCGATCGAATTAGCCGTCCGCCACAATGTATAGTAATACTCCTCAAAACCGGCGCGTATTTGGCGCGCGTAGAACACGCTGCCGCTGCTCGCCGGTCAATGGCCGTCTAACCTCCTTGACGCGACGAGGATCACCGGGCATGGCGCGGAACGCGCCGTCGATGTGTTTCACTCGCACGAGAGCCGCTCCTTATTTCCCTTTTTGTGCACGCTCACTGCTTCTTTTTTTTCTTTTCGTTTTTTCTTTTTTTTCTTTTCGTATCCTTTCTCCGGATCTTCGGGAATAAAAACTCGTTAAGATGTGACGATGCGCGCGGTACGCTGCGTACGAATGCGATCGGAATTCGAGATGTCAAATCGCAATTTTTGGCGGCGCCAACTTCACACACCTGGTCTGTCGAAGCCGGCAGTTTGACGTTTATACGATGACGTTTTTCTTTTCTATCTCGACGTTGACTTTTCTCTTCTCAGAAGTCGATCGGTTGTGCGACGTGACGTTTCGTGACAACTGTTTTAGTCGCGCGGACAAACTTCGAGCGCGTCGCGGAATCGTTTTTACGCGGTGTTGTTGTCACACTCGCTCCAATCGACGCGGTGTAAGCGAGACGGCGTCGCGGAGCAAGGTCGCGTCGGTTGACTTGCCGCTACGACGATCGGTCGAAATTCTCATAGCCGGCGGGGGCTTCCCGAGACCGCGCGTAGGCGAAGCGGCACGGCCGCGCTTGTTTATCAGCGGCGAGAAATTATTAGTTATTTGCCCGAGCGAGAAAGAGAATGCGCGAAGGTCTCGCTCAGAGAGCGGCTCAAGGTGACACAATCTGTGCGCCACCCGCGACTCTGCCGCGAAATCGACGAGCGAAGATTCCCGATGCCCCGCGCGCACACACGCGCTTCCCGTCGCGCTCCGCGCGCGCGTAAACGGCGTGCAACTACGTCGCGGTTAAATCGGAGCGGGGGATTAAAATCCGAGCACCGGGGAGAGGGGACGCGACGAGCGCCACACGCTCTTGCCGGGAGGATAAGGGGGGAGGGAAGGGGGAGGGAAGGGAGAGAACACACACACTCTGTGCGCGGCTCGTTTGCTCGAAAAATATCTCACCTTACGCGAGAGTCAACAATACAAATTTGCGCGTTAATCGTGTCAATACATATACACGGTTCAACTCCGCGGCTTTATTCACGGTCAAACTCCGAGTCCGGCTCGCGATCGCGAGTTTTACCACTTTTGCAGGAACGCACTTCGAAGACGCGCGCACTCAATTATGTCATCACGCGGGGAGTGCTGTCGTGTCGACGAAGAAGAGAGAGAAACTAAAAGAGAACGTCACGCAACAACAAACGCGATCTCGCGAGACTCACGATACCGCAGCCGGGCGGCGAGCCATCTCCCTCGACACTGACTGTGTACGCGAGTTTAACCGCGGTGGACTTCGCTCGGCTCGACTCGTCCGAAGTCGGCGCTCGATCGGTAATATGGCGCGAACGCGCTTTCCGTACAAAAAACATTTACGCCGCTGGCGTAACGATTCGGATTAAATCGCGCACGAACGGACGAACGTCGTGTTATGACGCCGTGTCATCGTCACAACAGCAGCAGCAGGATCACGACCACCACCACCGTTTTTCTGCCACCACCACCACCATCTCACCAATACCTCTTCGTACCACCACTCTACTACTACTACTATACTACCATTATTATTATTATTACCACCACCACTGCTATCAAAAAAGCGCGTTCACAAACTCGGGTTAAGTTAACTATAACCCTCTTACCGAGCCGCGAACACCTGCGCGCTACTCCGTTTCTCACGGAACGTCCGCGCTCCTCGTGCGTCTATACGTCAATTATTGTATTTCGTGACACCGGCGGTCGCGGCGCGGCGCTTACTGACGTATTGCGTTTGTCGTTCCGCAATTAACGCGCGCGATCACTCTCTGTCGGCTGACACGGACACCGCGCACGGTATCGCCGATCAAAAATGCCGTGTCTGCCAGATGCTGCGCCAGTACGCTACGCTGTTTTCGCGTAACTGATATTGGAAAAATATGGCTCCCACCGCATACCCAGAAACCTCTGCGGCATCTCGACGGCTGGCTCTCGGGTTGCTCACTCGCACGTCACTAAGTACGTCGCTAAAAACATTGACCCTCGCGACGTAAGCATCGGCGACGGTGTCGCTATCCATCGGACGACGAACGCATCGACTTCGCGGTCGAGCTAATAGCTGATACATATATTTTTCTTTTGCGCATCAGTGTCTCATGTATCTTCTCTTATTTGTATGCGTCTCTTAATCAATTTAACATCAATATAATATTTGTCACTTTTTCTCATTAACTCTTTTGCGAGAAAAACAAATAATTCAATTTCCTTACGATTAATTAACAAAAAACATCAAGTTTGATCTTCAATCTTCTTTCGCAATTAGAGACGATTTAAAACAATTGATACAGCAGTTCAAGGATTTAACAAGTTAAGTAATACAGCAGTTTAAGGATTTAACAAGTTAAGTAATACAGCAGTTCAAGGATTTAACAAGTTAAGTAATTATCTACAATCAAACTCGCAGTTGTTTCGCGACAAGTTAGGGTTACGAGATAAGACGAAAAGTTATACATAAAAATTAAAAATATATTCCGATAAAAAAAGTGCGAAGGATCAAACACAGAGGTCAGATTTTTTTTTTTACAAAAGGTGTGAAGTCGATCATTTTACACATCGTACAGTTTTCAATTTATTTAAGAGGATCAAAACAAATATGTACTAATCAATCACCAATTCTTCCTATAATAAATAAGATATTACGAGGCATGTTGCTATTTTATTAAAATTCGCTAGTAATTGCGGACGAGTACACGATGATGTATACGTAAAATAATGTGAAAATGTGTATATTCAAAGTATATTAATTTAATATAGTACAGTGAAAACTATAAGAATGATCTACAGCATTCGTTCGTACGCGTTGATGGGGGGGTTACGATAAAAAATATGACAGAATAAACTTTCAGAAATAACTTCGTTAAAAAGATCACAAAATTTCCAAAAGACTTATCTGACAAAACTTAATTTGTTTTTACTAGAGGGATTTTTTTTCTAATAAAATCCTCGACAAATGTAAAGGGTTATATCCAACAATATGTATAGAATTGTACAGAGCTGCTTACAAATACACAAAATTGTTCATACATTCCAGGAACCTGATTCTCATCTTATTTGCACTGTTAGCAAACAAAAGCGTTCTATGTCTTTGTTATTATCGTCACACGCATATACAAAAGCGACTGGAAAAAATTACTATCTGTAAGGCTAGCACTCCCACCATCAAAAACCAACTTATTATGTACTACAAGTATTGTTTTAATCGTTATTTTATTGCACTATTACTGATTTTTTTTTTGCTCGCGCAAAAATGTCCGTTTACTGTATCGAAACATATGTACTAATAAATTGTTGTTTTCAACACATTATCCGTGTTAACCCTCATATTGGCCGTTTTCTAACTTTCTGTAATAATCTAATACAGATCGCACGTTGATTTTTGGATGTGCTAGCTCTTCACAGACAAAAAATTAAATACTATGAATATGGAATAATGTCTCGTTCTCAAGATTTTTTTTCCGAGATCACTAATACGATCGATAATTTTATATTATCGTTTTTCTTTTTATCAGATGTAGTTTATATACTATTTTCTTTCACATTGATCGACACACATCTCATCGGTATCATTACTTTTGAGTTCTAGAAAACTGTAAAAGATAACAAATTCTCAGACCCTTAGGATTGGGTGTAATCGAGTGCGTTGCTACTAATATCTGAATAGAATCAGAAAAGAGTACTGTTTGTGTGTGTGTGTGGTACGCGCGCGCGCGCACGTCCATGTGTAGATACTCAATTGAAAACTAAAATATAACCACAAAAAAGCCAATTTTTTAAATTCTATTTTAGCTATGTTATAATCCAACTGAGTTGTTGGAGCAATATTAATTAACGGTCATAGACAGAAGGAGTAATTGCTAAGTAAATTTAAATTTCCTTTATCACTTTTAATGATAAGTACGTAATTCCAACGATACTCCACACAAAATAATAAATTAATTTAATCGAGATAGTTTTATATCAGAAAATTTATAAATATACTGTTTCTTCAATGCATTTCAACTAATCGAAGAATTATTTCTCTCATAAATTGATAGATAGTAATTCATTTTTTTACTTCAGCCGCAAATCGCATATTTATGTCAAGATTGTCGAAAAATCAATATCTGTATAGTACTCACAATTCTGCATAAATCTGAAAATAAAAATGTTCTTTTGCTTGTTGAGCAAAATTGCCTAACGCATTCGTTATTTCTTTCTTTCGTATGATCCGGAGACGAGCAAATGGAACAAAGTGTTCGAAATGAAAGAAATGGCTATGTTTATTACAGGGTTAGAGTAATCAAATTAATGCGTGGCACATTGGACTCTAGATGGGCCTCCTTCGTCCTCCTCGTACGCTTGTCTCGTATCTTTACGCCTTTGCTCTTGTTCAGGATCCAGATCCGTAAGTATACATTCCTCGGCACCGTCGGGAATGATGATTTCGCCTCTCGGTGGTAGACATTGTTCTAATGCCGGAATAACTGACGGATCTATGTTCTTCGGAAAATTGACTACAAATTGTATTATGAGTCTGCCACGTGTGAATGGATCTTTATAATACGGCATGCCTTCGTTTAGAATGCATTTCAAGTCGCCGTGCTTTGTCACAGTGCCAGGAAGCGAAGTTATCACTAGAGCTCTACCGTCTAAAGTGTAGATAACTTTCTGGAATCCACATAATGCTTCAACTAGTTCTAGTGTCATACGCATGATTAGATCATTCCTTGATCGTCTGAAAATTAATTTAATCGCAACATATTAGCACACAAGTTCAATAATAAGTTCTATAATGATAAGCGATCATAGTATCCAGATGTATACTAACTTAAACACTTCATGTTCTTTTTCTTCAAGAAGAATAACTATGTCTCCAGGCTCAAGATCCGGTTCTTGATCACCCTCACCACTGAAAACAATCCTTTGGCCATCTACCATACCCGGGTCAACATGAACTTCGAGAATTTTTCTATCTCTAATGGTTTTTCTTCCATTGCAATGCTTGCAACGATCGCGCGGATTGATACGTTCTCCCTGACCCTTGCAGTCTGAACACATGGTTTGCAAATGTTGCAACATTCCTGGACCCAATTGCTGGATTTGTACTTGCAAACCGGTACCATGACATGACGCACATTGTTCAACAGAACCTTTCTTTCCACCAACACCTAATCAAAATAACAATAGACATTAACTCATCTTTAAATCGTGATAAAGTTTCTTACAATGTCTGTGCACGATAGTTACCTTCACACTTCTCACAGATAACGTTCTTCTGCAAAGCAAGCTTACGTACAGTACCCTTATAAAGTTCTTCCAAAGATACTGACAACTGATGCATGACATCTTGACCTTTGCGTTCTCTTCTTCCCCTACCTCGTCCACCAAATCCACCACCAAAGAACATATCAAAGATGTCCATAGGAGAAGAGAAACCACTTCCACCCATTCCACCTTCTTTCAAAGCTTGTTCGCCACCTTGATCATAGATACGCTTCTTCTCAGGATTTGACAACACCTCATAGGCTTGAGAGATTTGTTTGAACTATATCATTTAAACAATTCGTAAATATTAAAATTTTATTGTATTGCATAAAATGTAATTAGTAAATGTTTGAAATTTGAGATTTTGATACAAACCCGCTCGCCCTCATTCGGATTTTTATCAGGATGATATTTTAACGCTAGCTTCCTATAGGCCTTCTTCAAGTCTTCCTGCGTACATCCGGGCTTAACACCCAACACATCGTAAAAGGTTGTCTCCTTCACCATTTTGCAGTTATTAGTCTAAATTATGTTAAAACTGCTCCTCTCTGTTAATAAAAATAAAAAATAATACAAATATATATATTATATGAAACTAATGACACATAATGAAGACACATTTGCTTTGTAACTAAAATATGTAATAGAACAAACACCAATTTTATTTATTTCATAGAAATGTATGATACACACATAATGACTTGCTAGCTGAAATGTTGGCATAGATAATTTATTGATAAAATATTAATTATCAAAGAATTAGTCATATTTATAACAAGATAGATATTAATAAGATATTAATTTAATCGCAACCGCATGTTCAAAAACTGTAAATAGAAACGAGGTTCAAGTCGTTTGACACTACGACTTGTAACACTAGTAAAAGAACAGCGCTACAAATATATAGCTATATAGATTCATTAAACATAATTTGTGGAAATTTAACTAAGATGTTTTCTTTTCTCAAGTAAAGCTATACATTTTTTCAGCCACTAAAAATAAAAAAGAGAGAAATCTTTTTCAGTACATCTATAACAAAATTGGCATATACTTGTTTCCTTCAATATTTATCAAAACTACTTTGACTTTTGCAACGTCATAGGTGACGAAATTGTTCTGCGCAATTTGCAAAGAATACTACGCGCCAAAGCTGAATTCGCGAAGCTTCGCAAATGCGATGAATATAATATATCCAATGCGGACCTGTGAGTTTCAAAATGGCGGCTACGATAGGTCTGAGATTATAACGTTTAAATAGATTAGCAAATGAGAATATTTAATGGAGATTTTGCAGCGTGGCGCGCTTCAACGACCGTTTCTCTTAACAAAGACACGCTTTCTATATCCTTCTGCTGCTGTATAAATATTCAGATCTCTCCGATTAACAAAATCGCTTACAATAAATGTGCGATGCTTTGCCAAATTGTTCGGTAAAATTCTGAACGGAGACGAGCCGTCGAAAATTGTTATTTCTCACACCGTCGAATTCAAAAATTTTTACGTAAAATTTAGATTAAAATTTAAAATCACGAGGATAACGCGTGTCGCCGCGCGGTAATGGCAAACGAGTTTATCTTTGTCGCGACGCCGCGTCATTGATAGGCAAGAAAGCGAACCAGACAGCTAAGTCAGGTTGCTGGGTTCCACCATCTTTTTCCTCCGAGCATGCTGTAACGCGAGTATTCGTCTAGCTAGGTTTTACCGTCTCTCCCCGTTTCGTAACGTCCAATGTTCACGCACTTACAAATATATATTATCGCCAACCTTCGGTTGTCCTCTCGGTAGACGATGATTTCGCAGAGACCGCTAAAAGCCAGTCGATGTGCAGAGGAAATAAAATACGACGAGATTGCACTCGAGGACTAAGTACACGAAGTGACGGTGGACAAAGTTCTAGATGAGTCTACGCCTTGTGCCAACGCCAGAGTCGGGATGGCGACATCGGCGAAATATCGTACTGCTGATCGATCGTATGATTCTGGCTCGCCTGTCCGTTCCGCGGGTGGATACACACCGTCTGTCGAAGCGAGAAAATCCGCACGACGAAACTTACCTCTGCAAACCTCTGAACGAAAGTCCGCTGTAAGATGACCGCGCACGTTTTCGTCCGACGTTTGCTTGCCTGCCTCCCTTGTATCCGCACGATTACGTTTCACGAAGTGAACTGCGATGAGTGCTTACGTCTTTCACTAATGTTAGAGCGCACTGTGTGTCCGTTCTCGAAACTTCCAAGCGATCAGCATTAACCGACCGAACCAATCGCGTAGCTGCGTGCGTTTTTGAGACTTTACAGCGCAACTCACAGGCGCGCGTCACCTGCGCCGTTGGTAATGCAATTTTCAAGATCGACTTTTGCATTTTTATTTTTGTACAAAAAACATGCGTGTTGTTATATATGCATTTGCAATTCGTTTTTTTGTTTTTAAGAACATACGTGTAGAATTTGTTCACAATTTGAATTCCGAAATCTGAAATAAAGATACATGTGTAAATTAGAAGCCAGTCACGTGCAGTATGTGGAAAAAAAATCGTCGAATTTGTTTGAATATATTTGTATATAAGAGAATTACGTATTATATATTTTTTTTATTGTATTTAAAATTATATTTTTACTCATTCTTTAGCATTATAGATGGCGGAACGTGTTTCCGTCGGGCGAGACGTTTGTTCTCGACATGTGCCCTTAAACCAGTAACGTAGCATTCAGTGAATAATATTGATTGTTGTGACTGGGAGGATTCGTGCAATAAGAAGGCTAGAATGATTCACGGATAAGTAATAAACGCATTACACTTAATATTTAGTACGCAATTACGTAATTGCACACGTACATATTTTACTATAATAAGTAAAACCTTGAAAGAAAATTTATTATTTGGGCGATTACTGGCATCACTTTCTCCTTGTCTCAATACGTCATTGTGATGTTGATCTTAGTGCGCATGACCAAGAGAACATGGTGCTCACTTGACAAGGCTGATTTCCGCACGTGTCTTTTTCACCGTATGTACGCCTAGAAAGACGAGATGGTAAGCACTTTGTATCGAGAAATTTTGCGGTAATCTTCGAAGAAAACGTTACGTGTTAAATTAAACTCTTTTCAATGACGTCCACTGAAGTACGTGTTGTATATATTATAGTCGAAGATTAGTTTTAAGATATCAAACTCGGTTTTTTAAATACCGCGAAATCCATAACGTTACTTAGGTTAGGTAATACAAAAATATAAATGTGTTTAAGAAAAAGTGCGCCAAGAGAATTTTTACACCTAAAACTTTACATCTAAAACTTTAAATGCCAATGCCAAACTATTTAATATCTTGTGTGCGTAGAATAATTATAATAAATATTACAATAAATATGTGTTTTGATTACAGGCTGAAGGTACAGCAACTATCCGAACACGGAAGTTCATGACCAATCGGCTTCTATGCCGAAAACAAATGGTGAGTACATGCATATCATCCCTAATTTTTGTCTTTATGTTATTTAAATAATAATTTATCAAACATGCTGTTTTTTGTTTTGCAGGTCGTAGATGTAATCCATCCTGGACAACCGTCAGTTCGGAAAACTGAAATACGAGAAAAGTTAGCCAAAATGTATAAAGTAACTCCAGATGTTGTCTTTGTGTTTGGCTTTCGAACCAACTTTGGTGGCGGCAAATCATCTGGATTTTGTCTTATTTACGACACTTTGGATTTTGCCAAAAAATTCGAACCCAAATACAGGTTAGCAAGGCATGGTCTCTTTGAGAAACAAAAACAGACTAGAAAACAGCGTAAAGAACGTAAGAATAGGATGAAGAAAGTTAGAGGCACTAAGAAGAGTAAAGTAGGAGCAGCATCTAAAAAGGTAGGTTATATTAGTATAAAATTTGTGGTAATAAATATATATACAGTAATTGTCTATTACTTGAATGTTAATGCTATATTTCTATACACAAAATCATTTATTTTATCTTATTGTGGAATGCTTCTCAAAAAACATTTTATGCATGTTAAAAAATATTTTTTAATTGGTGGAGGCTGTGACTTCAACATTAAATCAAAATTTATGATTGGCTTTATAAATACAATATTTTATTTTATATAAATGTTCTTTATTTGTTTTCATTCAAGTAATTTTATGTTAATGTACCATGTCTTTTAGCAAAATTGTAAGACAGTTTTATATATAAGATTTTTTATACAATAGATTTATAAAATTCTCAGAAAAAAATATCATATAGTGTAATCTGTTTATTATGCATGTGCTCCGGTGTATAGGCTTTGTATTCACATTCTAGGGAAGGAAGTAAACAAATAATCATCATCATTTATTGTACTTCTGGAGGAGCAATATCTTGTTGCTTAATCAGGGTCAGCATGCAAATGTTTCAGTTTTAAAGTAATTTCGTTTTTTGTTTGACACAAGCTGATAGTTTTGTTTAATGCTTTATAATAAACCATATTCTTATCATTCTCTTTGATGTTTGGCAGTACATAGAAACAAAAGTAGTTTAGCTTAATCTAAATTACATGAGATAAATATTTATTTGAGTTTTCGTTTTTCTGACGTTATATCTCAATATAACTGTAAAGAGCATTTAAGAACTTTACAAGTGTAGGAAGGTATTAATATGCAAAGTATGCTTATTTCTTTTATTCCCACTTCATTTGCTTGCTGTAAAAATTGCTAGAAAATTATATTAATAGAATTATTATATTAATAAATTATATTAATTGTATTAAAAGCATGTTTTTTTTTTGTGCATATGTGCTATTATATATATGAAGATATGTGTGAGTGTGTGTATATAAGTAATAGTATCATAAAACTCTGTTGTGTGTGCACATGTTATAAAAGTGTGACTTAAGATTATATATATTTTTGTAATTTTTACTCAAAATATTTTTTGTTTGAATTACAGTAAACCTACAAGTCATCAGGAATACCAACTTGGACGTAAAAGTTATTATATTTTACTGGGGTGTAGAGAGCTGTATAATTATAATAAATTTTACGAAATAAACGTGTATTCTTCTTAAACAAAAAATTTGTCGCATTTCACCTGGCATTAAAAATATTGTTTAAAAAACGTTAAAGTAATATAGTTCTGGCATTAGTACTTCACAAAAATAATATACTTTATTTTGACATACTTCAGATAACTTGAATTAGATCATTCATTATTTGTCGTATATCAAATTACACGCGAAACATCGATCTTTGAACACATAATTTAAATATTTAATTCATTCTCACGCTTTCGGTAAAATTCATTTATTCATGTTTCTTTTACATATTGTTTACTAACATTTTTATCTTGCTCACTATATTATCATCTACAATTTATTTTGAGTTTTATAGTTGAATTTTATCTCGTATGCTTAAATTTTTATTTTTTTGTGCAATATATAATCTTTATATTATTAAAATATGACCTCAGCAGATGCTGGACGTGGTTTTTGCGTTGTACGTCTAGTGACAATTTCATTATCTTCTATTCGTTTATTGTAAATAGGTAAAATTGATTCGGTAGACGTTGTAGGTGGCTCGGTTGTTAGGATTTCTTCAGTAGATGTTACAACTGATTCAATATCAGTTGTAGCAGATTCAGTAGATGATTCAGAAGAGGTAGACTCAGAAGTCACAGTAAACTCAGTAATAGTAGATTCGGTGGAATTTACATCCGATACAGTGGATGTTAACATTGAACTGGTAGATGATTCATTATTCGTTACAACTGATTCACCAGAAGTAAAAATTCTCTCAGTTGCAGCCACAATTGAGTCTGTGAAAGTTGTAATTAAACGAGTAGTAAATGAAATTGGTTCGGCAGATGTCACCGTAGGTTCCTCAGAAGTTGTCAGATGTGATTCTGTGGAAGTCACAACTGCTTCAGTTTCATCAACAGTTTGGGACGTTTGTCGCAATGTAGTCGATTCGATCTTTGGCGTGGTTATTGCAGGAGGTATAGAATCTGGAATCCCTTGTACATTAGGTATCCAATTAGGTGTCCAATTGATTCCCAATATAGGAGTTGAAGGCAGATTTGGTATTAGAGGCCTCATGTCTCCTCCATTCAGCCATTCATCCGAATCACTATCTAGACTGTAGTCATACCCTGTAACTTTCCGGATGATGTACCAGTTACCAATCCGGACTCCCCAATCTTGTTTTGGGTCGAGGGATAGACTAGCTATGGGGCCATGGAAAGAATTGACAAAGATGAAAGTAAAAACATGAAAGTGAAAGAGTTTAAAGCTCGATGTGTGCTACGATTAGTTCAGTCAAAAAAAAAAGATCGTTTGATATATTTTACAAACGTGCTCTCTATATTAATTAAAAGTGAATTTGTACGGAAATACTTGTTTGTTTTGACGTAAGTCGCGCAGCAGGTTTAGACATATATTTTTTTCCGATCTATTTTTGTCATAATCCTACATAGTTACAACGAATCGAGAAGCCTTATATTCTATATTTTATGCATTATTTTTATGCATCATTGCATCTGACATTTTTATACAAAGTGGTAGAAATAATGTTCTTGTGTATTTGAATAAAATCAGTCAAATAGTTTTTTATGATGCTCTTGAACAGTAGCATACTCTCCATAACACCTTAATTGCTTTATTTTACTGTTCCGTGTTTGCAAAGAACAAAAGAAACGGTGAATCAATTGTTATGAAATGTTCTTTCGCAGAATAGCATTAAATAATGCTCTATTCTAGTGTGCAACATTCACGAATGTAAACGTTCACGATGACACGACATGACACGTTATGTAAATGGTCGAAATTGCGATACTTCTTCAATTATACTTCGTAGCGAAGCATAAACACGATTTATCCTTTAGTGATAGTATGAGTTACAATTTTACGTCACAATAAAGGATTAAAGGGGAACGTACTAGATATCTAACATAGAATTCTTTTATATCGTTAGGTATTGCTTACACAAGTCCAAGAATAAACCTGGATAACCAGATATTCGGCTTCCGATAGTCTTGTCTATGTTTAGAATGTCCTGGGCCGTGAAAGTCGGAGTTGGATCATCGTTGCCGAACCATTCGTGCAATTTTCCTACGACTCTATTCTTGATTATCCTGAACCAATCCCGTATTGTGTCTCCGACAGCAGATCGATACTCTCGGTGCAGACTTGCACCATCTACGACAAGTGGTTGTATAAAGTTATAAGACTAGTCTTACAACTGATATATTTTAACGTTTCATTAGACTATCTTCACCAGATTATTTAATTAATTATATCTAAGTGACGTGATTCCGGAATCTGAACATTTCATACTAATTACAAAGAAAAAATCTCGATAATTTGTTGTTTACTAGTTTTTTAGTTGCAAATATATCAATTTTCTCACAAAAAGATATTTAAAACTTAGTTTAATAATATATAAACTTGAATGTCATCAATTGGACAAAATAACTCTTTAAAATCGTATCATTGTATCTTTTTGGTAAAGAGTTTAGGGCAAAAATAGTTTAATTTGTCACCTTCAAGGATCTCGCACGCGTCTCTTCACCTTTAATATCAATTCATCTGTATCACAAGATACTCGATTTAACACATAAACAACAGTATTTGCACTGTATATCACCTCTGTCAAAAATTGGTGTCGACGTGACGAGTTGGCAGGTGAGGAGCAATAGTAACACACCGAATAGTCGCATATTGCGAAGTGGACAAACAACATTACTCTGTGTACGGATGTGGGAGAGCGTGCGGCTTTATATATCCTTCGCCGGAAGTTCATGGCATGACGATCTCGTTAGTGTCACAATTTTATCGAGAATCAAGTTGGATCCGCTTGCAGTAATATCGTTAAAGAGCATCGGCCTTGATTGTTCTAATCCCGTTCTCTCAATGGATTGTTCTCCTCCCTCATTTCGCACGACATGTAACTTATATCAGGGAATCTCCAAAGTCAAATACAAAAAATATACAACGTATACGTCAAAGGCGAACAATCATTTATTCCGCGAGGCTGAAGCAGCCGTATCACGCTATTGTGTTACGTATGAATACAAATTACATGTGTACGCTATGCGCGATTACTCGTGGGTTGGACCGGGTCAGCTTCAAACTATCAATTGATTACGTTGCGCACTAATTCATAGTTTACACAATTTTGTTATACTATAGTGCGCTTGTCCGCACTTCCATAGATGTTCTTTCAACGTCTATATTTTTAAAAAATGTATTTATGAAAGAATTATCTTGTGGAATTTCCCGAACAGCTATTCCGAGTACTTATTTTGTCATTTAAAAATTTTACTGTCATCAGTTTTAATTGTACGATGTAAAAAATACATGACGTTACAACTTGAGATATATATTTTTTTTAACACAGCTGTATTTAAATATTTAATAAGTCAAAATTGTTTCTTACATTAAATACGCACAAGAAATCTCATGTTATAAATTCAAAACTAAATAGCACGATATTCTTTATTACAATGTTGAGTAAAATATGTGATATTGTTAAAAATGTGTTTTTATTATTACATCGTGTTGGAATTAAAAAAAAAAAAAAAAGAAACATTTGGCATACAATTTTTACATCAAAATAATTCTTCCCAACAATTTTATGTCTAAACTCCATGGTATAAAAAAATACCAATTTATTTTTAACACTGAGCTATTGCGCGGAATTCGTTTTTCGAATAAACAACTTAAGTTTCGAGTCACCTTTTGAATAGATGATGAATACGAAACAAATTGAGAGAACTTGTGTGTCAAAAATCAATAGCAATCTATAAAATTGGAATAAAATATACATGCGTTCTCGTATATACAATATGAGAAACATATTTAGCAAAACATCATCATTTGGTATAGGACTTGAGAAGGATCGGTGCGTGTGCGAAATTAGCGTGTTAATGAATTGCGTTCGATCAACCTAACACATAAAGAAAACGTTACCGAGTTACGAGAGTTATACATCTGAAAACGTCGCGTTATGAATCACGTTGATAAACTTGTCGGAATAAATTATCAAGTATAAATATCTACGAACTCTATTCGACAAGTTTATAATAATGTACTTGTCGGTATTACCGTCCAACTTGTACCAGTAAAAGTGTCCGACAGTAGTCCTATACGAATGATAAGACTTAGGCGTAGTTGACCAATACATAAACCGAGTTTAGCTTGCGCCGTCGTTTGCTAAATTGTAAAATCAAAGCTCTCGGAGAGCACAGATTAGGGACACTCGTAATTCATTACTCTCGTCATCATTTTTTATTCGTATATTTCATCAATCCTGCTCGTAGTTGGGTATACTTGGTACACTACCATCTGGGACTCCCAAGAATCCCGTATTGTGCGCATGAGTACAAAGGCAGGAAACGCAGTCGCTTGCAGTCTGCTCGGGATCTTGTATGGTGAGGTTTCGTGTTACGTCTTACTGCAACTCTGACCGTGCGAAATCAGCTATAGCTTCTCAAACTCTCAGGTAAGCGACTCCAAGCAATAAACTGCGGACATCTCGTCGGTACGCAATTAAATCGTATATCGTACGACGCAATTTGTGTTGTACACAGCGATATAGGAATCCCAAGTGCGCGGCATAGCCTACGTTGCAGTGGGCATGTTGGGTTATGTATTACGCAAAGCGACTAACTGTATTTCGACAAAACGATCATATTACGCGAGAAACTCTGACAAATTTTATACAGGAACATATAAATAGCGAGTGCAAAATAAAATATGCATAAAACGCACGTAAAAATCCCTTAAAAAAGTTTTGGGTTATCTCTAAACATGGAATCGCCCGAATTGCTCAAGGCCTGCATCTCGTAGCCAATCTCGTGATACTACGCAGTAACGGAGCATTAATTGCAAAGGCCCATTACCCATAATATCCCATTACATTTTTTTTCTAAAGAAAGTTTACATACATATATTTATTCACAAATGTCTTAGTTAACAAAGATATGTAATTATGGTAGCTTAAAGTTTCAGAGTGTACTAGTTCCAACCATATTGAATCATGAAGTCAGAAGCGAGAAATTAGGTGTAGTAAAGTTTTGTTTGTGCAATTTGTTATAAATAAAATAAATTATTTTTTTAATGCGTTATATCGCTAGTTGCAGAGAGAGATTAATAAAATCTGCTAAAAACTCTATTAATTTGTGTTAATAAGTACACAATCCATTCTACTTGCCATGTATTTTCCCGAAAATAAATCTTACGGAAATTACTTTGTGAACTTTCCGAACAAAGTTTTGAGTTTTTATTTATACATATATTTAACATATATAATTAACAATTTCACACGTAGATCATATATAAGCTAATTAAAGTTTATTATCCTATTATAATAAGTCCTATTTTATACAAAATCTGAGACACTGTGAATTATTTCTTTTACTTATTGATTATTTAATTGTGTTCTTTTCGTAAGAAAAGTCTCCTTCCGATTGATGTTCAGAAACAACCTCACATGAATATTGTTTAACTAACAGAATAATTTTACGGTATATACACTGATCATATGCCTTTAACGAACAATAACGATTTTATCTAAGTACAATAACAGTTTTATTCAATAGTTCGTAATAAAAATCTAGAGAAAGAAAAAGACGAAGAAAAATCTCATTATATTTATATTTGATCTAAATAATTTATTCAAAACGTCTAGAAGATAAATATGAAAATGAATATGTTGTAAATATGTATTACATATGGTAAAGTTGTAGTATATGATATAATTAAGAAAAAATGTTCTTATATATTTTATTGATTTCGATGGTTCTTCGCAATCTTACTCTGTTAACTTACACTGTAGCAATATTAATAAAGATTACAAGTTGCGTAAAAAATCTGTTAATATTCTGTAGGATATTAAAAGGATAAGACACATTTGCCTACAGAATTATAATTTGATCATCTGAGTTTTGCAAACCAATTACGTTGTTTTGGGATTACGTGAAGGTATTTGTTTATAGGGTTGTAGGTGTTTATTTATAGCGTTTTTACATTTCATTCCTATTATATTTTTTTCATCATTAAAACTTGGATATTGATTTAAAATATTTTATATAATATTCAAATTATCTGTGATGTATGTAAACAAAAAGTAGATCCTAAGTAAACAATTGCTATCGGTACCCATTGAGCCAGTACAAGATCCAGCACTGATATCAGTTCAACAGAAATCACACATGGATCGAGTTGCTGTGCTCAGCCTAAATACGTCCCTCCTATTCCGTGGAGTGAGAGTAGATGCGTATGTAAGAAAGAGATGACTATACAGAATCTTAACGTACTAAAAAAGGAAGGACTATATGTCGTGGGAAAGGAACAAGTATAGCTTAGCATAGGCACACTGAAGTACGCAAAGTATAAGGATCACTCAGATGTTCAGTACTCTATGTAGCATGATCCTGAACAACAATGTGTTGCGTTAACTATTACCTTATTTATTTAAAATTACAAATTTCAAAAACGTTTTTTAACAGAGATCGCATTCTCCTTCAGAATGAACGATAACACCACGACTGCTTATGAGGATGAGAATGATAGTGATAACACACCATCACTGTTATCTGATCTAGCCAATATAGAAGTCGAGTGCAAAATAGAACCATCCGACCACGAATTAACCGAAGATTCACCAGCATACGTAAGTTCAGGCAACTATTAAGATCTCATATAGCTTACCAGCTTTTCGACTGTTCGTCAACAAGTCCAAAGAAAATTGATTTGTTCTTGTTCCGTTGCACTTGAGCAAAACCTGCCCTCGCTTATTCCATCACAATTCCAGTGCAACCTGCTACAGTCTCAATGCAGCAAAAAAGCACAAATCATATTACTACTACTTTTGCTGAAATCAGTGAATTCTATAACGTATTGAAAGGATCACATTGATTCCGCCCAATGAATTTAGAATTTCGAGAGGTTGACAGCAAGCGATTTAGTGGGTTTTTTTTTTCTGGTTTTTTCCATGTATACATCTACTTTATTGTCGATTCGGTCGATTTATCAGTAATGCACATTTCAATATGTATTATAGCGTTTATTAATCAAAATTGGCAGCCATATTTTACCACGCTTTTTATTTATTGTATTGTTTGACTATATTAATACCTAAATAAATATGTGTATTTTGCAATAATATTATTGTTATGCAATAAAACGTAATTACATTATCTTTTTTTAAATAAGCACACAATTGTTTGTGTGTGAGAAGTTATTGTTAAATATTTGTTAACAAATCATAGATTGGATTTTTATGCATCACGTTATCTATAACTAGTTATTTTGTTTAATGTTTTTAAATTTTTTGTATGTACTTCATTTTACATCAAACTGTTAAAAAAAAAAGATAAATATGTCTGTAAGTATGTACTATGTCTTTGTTACAGGATGAAGTCTTATTTCACATTCCAGTGTTCGCTCCTAAAATTAAAAATCCAATAATTTTATTAGAAAAATGTGATAATATTTGGAAAACATTACAATTAATAAAAACTGTACAACCCGAGCAAACAACATCAAATGAAGATTACAGTAAAGAAGAAGAGAAAGAAGAAGAACATAATAAAGAAAAAGAAATAAAAAAAGAGATAGAGGAGGAAGAAGGGTTGGAAAGGGAAGAGGGAGAAGAGGCAGAAGAGGCAGAAGAGGGAGAAGAAGAGGAAGAAGAGGAAGAGGAGGAGAAAAAAGAACATTTAAATGAAACTTTACAGCCTGTTTCTTATGCCAATAGACGATTTGCAAAGAGAGAGAGAAATAAAAATACTGCACTACCTTTCAAATTTTCTGTTCAAAGTACAAGAAAAGTATATCCTTGTCTTACATGTGGCAAACAATATATGGAGAGACGATCGCTAAGAAAACATGTATGGAAAATACATGAAATTTTTCTTCCGCTAATACGTAAGCGTGGCAAAACTTCTGCAAATTCATCTCCTGCAAATTCAATCTCTCCAAAATTACCTGACAAAAAGGATCTCGTCAGTTTAGATGTTTTGCCTAAGAAAAGAAACAGTTCTGAAAGTCATCACATTGACGAAAATCTACATAGACCGATTACTGCTACAAAAGCAAAAGTCACTAAACCATCTGCAGTAGATACGTACATTAAATGCATATTGTGTAAACGGAGTGTAAGTAGTTTAAAAAAGCACTTGATGAGTTATCATAAAATTGGAGCTAATTCAAGTTTGATGAAGCAGTTAGAATCGTCAGTAGTAGAGAAGAAAGTAACACCAAATAAGAAAACATCACTAAGCAATATATTGTCTGGCAAATTTCCTCAAACATCATCTACGCAAAATACACAAGATAGCTTTCGCATAATGGACAATGAAGACACTGAGGAAACAATCCCGGTTACCAAAAAACGAAGACGTACGTTATCCCAGGAAAATAAAAAATCCAAGATCGATGAATGTCCTGCGCGTAATATAAATAAGCGCAGTAGAACACAATCTGTAAATGTTACTTCGTACAAATGTCAGATTTGCTTTGGAATATACGCTTCTCAACATAGTTTATACAAACATAAACGCATTCACAAAATCCGCGGGGAGACTAAAGAAAATTTTCATAGATTTAAATGTAGATATCTTAATTCACCGCTAAACAAGAGATATCATTTACTCCAGTCTTCCGCGAAATCAACTGTCATCACAGGAAATAATAGCGGTAGCATAAAAAAAAGTGTACAATCTAGTAATTCCAAAGAGAATCAATTATTCCTGGAAAAAACATTCAATTCAAAACCCAATGTGGTTAATATTAAGTCAGGTAGAAATACTAAAGACAGTAAAACTATTTGTTCATGTGGAAGATCTTTTCGTAATCCTCACACTTTGTTCATCCATAAAGAACAATGTAATTTTGATGCTCAAGAAAATAAAAGAACACAGAGTAGAAAACGTAGTTATGATGATAAAGACTTTGGAAATGGTATTAATATAACAATCAAAAAGCGAAATGACTCCTATGAAATAGTTGGTAAGGATATTGATGACAAATCCGATAAGTCTATCCAAATAGAAAATTCTTTCTCGGTTGCACCGTCCAAGTCATCTGATCATACTACCAAAGACAATACATCCACTAAATCAGAAGTGGATATAATTCAACCATCTGAATACAGTAAGGATCATAGCATTATGAAGTTAGAAATTGTAGATGAAGATTTGGTCGTAGATATTGAAGACGATGTTGCAGTTAATACTGATAAAACTGACACAATAAAACAGGTAACTGCTCCAGAATGTGATGAAGGATATTTATTACAACAAGATCAAACAAATGATGAAAAAAATACAAACACTACAGTTTCTGACAAGATGTTAAAGGAAATACATGATGACGTTTCTGAAGTTTTTGCAGAACGCCAAGTAAAGAATACATTAGAGGATAAAAAAGTATTGAAAGATAATGTTCAAGAAAATAGTCAGACTAAAGAACAGAAAAATAATCCGGTTAAAAACCAAGAAATACACCAGGAGAATAAGATGGAGTTACGATCTTACAAACGATCACGAAGTGCCAATTTTGAGAATTTTGATGATACATTTACCAGAAGATATGATAGAGAATTTGAGAGACCGCAACTTTATATGACGAAAATGGGTTCTTTGAAGTGTGGATATTGTAATGAACAATTCGGCAATACTAATTCATACGATAACCATCAGTGTGTTGTTAAAGAAGGGAAACCTTTTGATAGTTTTTCCTTATACTTGCCATGCTTCTATTGTAGCGAAGTGTTGAACACTTATCAAGAATATGACCAACATATGAGAATTAAACATTTAGATGACATGTATAATTGTTACCAGTGCCCTGAGCGATTCAGACACGACAAAGCACGATTAAATCATTTACAAAATTATCATGACGATATGTCTTGTCGAATTTGCAACAAGAGGATGAACACCTCGACCAAAATCCTACATGAAGGTTATCATTTTGGCTTTGGATATCCTTGCCACAAATGTAAGAAAGCTTATACCACTAAAAAGAATCTTTCCTATCACAAATCTACAATACATCCAGCTGGAGGTGATAGTCTGATAACTTGTAGCATATGTTTGAAATCTATAAAACTGAAAACCTTTCGGGGACACATGGCTACGCATAAACATAACGACTGTCATTTCTGTGGCAAAATGTTTGCTAATAGGACAGGAATAGAATATCATACAATGATATATCACGGTACACACTCTAAACTAAAGTGTAACATTTGTGGCACACGTTTTACCAATAAAAACCAGCTTGACAAACACGAAAAAATAGGAGCCTGTAGAAACAATGGCAAAAAAATAAAATCGAGAGATGCATATTATACTAATGCCAGAAATTATTAAACTTAGTGTCTTGAGAAAGAAGGAGAGAGAGAGAGAGAGAAGTAATGTACAGTATATATAAAGCTTGCGGTCTCTCTTTATTTTTTGCAATTATATTGAATGATGATGTCAGAAGTGAGAAATTATCCAATATGTCGAATATGCGACAAGAATAGATTAAAAAAATACAGTAAACATACTATAAAAAATTCCCTATCATTCCGCACTAGTGAATAAATTATATATATAACTCAATCTTATTAATGTTAGATATTTTCTATAAAAATAAATTTTATGATGATCGATTATGTTCCTAGTGGGTTTCGAGAAATAATTTCTAGAGAGTTTCTGAGAGTTGTTAACTTTTTGACATTATAATTCAATATGGCTGCATCGAGTATTTATAGTAAGATACGTATTAGAATTTAGAATTTTAAAAAAGTTTAAAAAATAATACTAAAATCTAAGATAAGTGTCTTCTTTTTGAGATCATGTCAGCGCTTTCTCTTATGCAAAGAACTTACATAAAAGCTGGACAATTTACAGAAAGAGAACGATAAAAAAGTTATAAAAGAGAATAAAGAGGTCTTCACACAAAAACAAAGGTCAAAAGAGTTTGGTCTAACGATGGGAGACTTGTACAGAAAATTTTAGTTGCTTTTGCTAAATAAATTAAAATAATTAAATATTTATAGGTTAAATTTTTGAGTTATGATTTCATAATGTATTTTTCTTTTGTGTTTAATGAATCTAGATCACAAAAATTCGAAAGATGTAAAGACATCTAAGAAATGGCTAAAATAATTTAGACATCTTTGAAACATCTGTTATCTTTTGGAGTTTTGTTCTGTCTGGGAAGATTATTCAGTGAACTCTGTATATTAGAATGGAATGTTTGCTCCAATAAGAACTAATGTAAAAAAAACCGGCAGAGAGACAAAAGAGTGAGATAAAAGCAAGACATTTTTGTTATTTTATGTAACAAAAGAAACATGAAAAATGGTTAGCTACTCACACAAGCTCCTAGAAGGAGAAATATGTAAACAATTTCTTTTTCATACTGTGGTTGTTTTTTAAGCATTGAAGTGAGCATTCCAGAATAGTATATAAAAATTCACTGGCATATATATTGATGTATGTCTTCTAAAGTCTTTCTTCTCTTATCTTTTTATGCATTCCACGTTATTCTTAATTTACTGATGTGTATATATATATATATTACTTTTTTAAAACTAGGTAATAAGAGTGTAATCAAGTTGAAAGAAAAATTATATAACCAGTAATATTTTTATCAAATTTTTAATGCGTAAATATTGTTACGTCTGTACGATCACTACTACACATTTAAAAAAAAACGTTACAGTATAATAATTAGTAATAATACTTAAACGAAGAAAATCGACATGTCGTAAATGACGTTCTGTCTTTTAAGTATCATTAGATTTATGACCAAGGGTCTATTATTTAAATATAATTTTCTACAGTTTGTTAAATAAAGTTTCTTTTTATCTTTTATATATATTTTGTCGTGTGTTATGTATTGCAATCCTTGATAAATTCGCGTCCATTTGACTGTTTTTAATCTAATATATATTCTGTAATAAAATAAATGTTTTTTAAAATAGATCGTATGGTGTTTATACTGGCCATTTCTAAATTTTGATTCCGTAACCATGGATTGCCAAATATACGAACTTTTTTCATCATCCTCATAATACTCTCTCGTAATAGAGATTACCAGCGTCTCTGTCCACTAAGTGGCAGAAAACAGCTGTAATACATAATGAAAAAAGAAATTGATTATATTTCATTGTATGTACTACCATAGAAAAGCCTGAGAGCGACCAGGTCCATAAGAGAATGTGTAATCACTTTTCCGTCTCGTAAACTAGCGCATGTCCACGAGTGGTACACATTGGAACTACGCAGCCAGTCCACGAGCGACATGTCGGTACGCTATGTCCACAGCGTGCGGTTCTATTCTGTGCTATGTGCACGAGTTTAAATGATCACTTTCTTTAAGTGTGTGAGCATATTCGAGAGCGTGAATTTGATTTTTTTTGAAATTTAAAATGACCGATCTCATGATGAGAAGATGAGAAAGGAAAACAGAAAAGGATAAGAAAAACCATTGCAACTTTTCGTACAACATAAATGTGATATACAAGAAAAGATGTGATAGTCAAGAAAAGAATCTTATTTTAGCGAGCAACATCAGAATTCGTGGAGTGTAGTCAAATATCA